CTTCTTTTATTGGATACACCCTTCAGAAAGCTCCGCCGGCTGTCAACAACACTTCTCTCTCTTTTCTTTTATTATTTCACTCACCATGCGCTCAGTGGAATAATACAGTCCGTACTCTTATTATTGTTATAACGTTACAGGGTTACTTCTTTATATTGCTTCATACTGCTACTTAAATAACAGATACACTTGATATTAGTTTATGTAGTATAAGGGGGTTAGGGTACTTCACTCTCATACTTGTATATTCAATATATGTACATATATAACGTTATGTGTTTATATTATATACTTCCATTTATGTACCTGTGTATGTTGTGCGGTGGTGGAATAAGTAAGTACATTAACTCGTGTGAGGAACTTGTATTTAAGTATTTCAATTGTATGCTGCTCTCTATATATCCTGAACTGCATTTAAGAGGGACATTTGTGTTTAATTATATGCAAAATATATTACACGCCTATAAAATACAATGGATTGCCATATTTCTAACATAAAATGCAACTTAATTAATAATTAAAAAATAATAATACTTAGCTTCTTCTTTTTGCATAACGACTTTTACTTTTACTACTACTTTTTTTATACTTTTACTGCTAATACTTGTTTACTTCATTTACATTTTGAATGCATAACTTTTAAAGTGTTTTTCCACTGTGGTAAAGGATTTGAATACTTCTTCCACCACTGCGTGTGTACTATCTATTTACCTATTATCTACCTCATAAACTAACTGTACCGTCCTAAAATGTCATGTGACCACATTTCAAACATAACTTTGAAAGCATATAGATTATTTTAATATATAAAACACAAACCACAGTTGCCCCTGGTAACCACTGCTCTTCCTCACAACTAAGGAAAACAATGTCACTAAACAGGAAAACACCCGGAGGTGGTGATGTTAGGCGAACAGAAGACTTGTCAGTTATTGTAGTGCAGCGTCCGGAAATAATAACATTAACCCTCCAACAAAAGTCGTTTTCTTTGGTGAATATTGTTTTGTTATGTCTAAGAGAGAGACACGGGACATTTTTGAATGTCAGAAGTGCTCAGTAAGCATCGCAAATTATGTTCGGCTGTTTAATTGTCTAGCCAAAACATCTTTTGTATTCGCAACGAGGACGACAGTGAGAATTCCCTGAACACACCACAGTAGGCAATTGAATCACTTACGTGGGATAATGTTGTAATAACAACACGTAAATATTATTATTGTGTCCCTCCCTTCATTGTCTCTTCCTTCTTGACGTCAGCTCTTTTGAGGATCATGGAAAGTTTTCCCACTGCCTATCTATTGGGCAGTACTTAGGGTCGCTGGCAATTACGATTTTTGTCTTAGCACATGAAGGCAGCATGTTCACAAAAGGAGGGAGTGGCGATTGCGTCCATTTCAAAGCCTCTCAATCGGGGAGTTTTACACGCGAAGTTTCCAGAAATCTATTTCTAACATCTAAATAAATAATTTACATCTTCTTTGACTCCCACATGAGGCAAAGTCAGCAGTTACTCACTAATAATAAACCTCCTTGTTTGCTCCCATGCCAGTAACCAGAGGCCAGTTACAGAGAAGAGACCTCGACTGATTAGATCATTTATGGATTTGTCAAATGTCAGAGAAGAACTCAGGATTCATGTCATTTGTTTTTTTCTTGCTTCCACACTTAGTTAGAAGTGTTAGGGTGAAGTGAGTTCTGAATAGCCAATAAAGTAAAGTTACAGATGGTTGCATAACAAAATATAAGTAGTAAGACCCTTCATGCTACACACACAGCACATAAACAAATATTTTTATTTAGAATAAAATATATGCAGTTATATATATAATATATACATATATTAATAACTATATAAATAAATATTGTGACTATAACTCTCTGGGATATAAAACCAGTGTTTGTGTGGTTGTGTTGTTTGCTTTGGAGATAAACTGAGATATTGTTCTTTAAAAAAAAATAAAACATTTTGTCTTATGATACTGAAATACTTTACAGCTTTAGATGACTTTGAATTAAAATGTGATGACTCAAACTGACACAGGCCCTGGAAGGTTAAATCCATTATTTCCCTCCTTACACCCACTTCATCAATATAATGACACTGTAGTAAAAAGTACTGATATGTTAATATTCAGGTTACTTTTATTACCTCTGGCCTATTTTTCTTTATACGTTTTGTTTTGACATGTTAGGCAGCACAAGATATTGAATGGATGGCTGAATGCATGATCTAATGACAGGGTTGGACAAAGGGAAATGCAGTACATTAGATGCTTCTATTGATTCCTTGGTAGTCTAATTATACCATACAGCCTTTTCGATGTTAAGTATATTGTATATCTCTGTTGATCAGAACCACTGAGCCCAGTTCTCTCTCTGATTTACATATTTTTAACCTTCATTTGTGTAACTTTTAACTTTGAACAAATAACTCCTAACAGATATACTGAATTATATCTGCGGCAATAGTGCTTGTTGTTCTCTGCGTGGTTAAACAGCGCCACCTGGTGTATATTACTCCAATTACATCACAGTATATACATAATTAAAATGTCTTTTTCCACCTATATCTTTTTATATATAATTCCAATGTCAAAGTCTTTTCTTATAGTTCCCAATTACACCCCCCAAAAATACTTCCACTAACTGTCTCTAACAATCACTCCTCTTTTACCAGTGACAACACAAAGTAATGCCTAAAGAACTATAAGAGTTTTATAAGAATGGTAATTTGGGTGTAACATCAGAAAGGTCACTGCGAGAACAGTGTAGAAAGTATCGTCTCTAGTCAATAACACACATATAAACCAATACAATAGGTGAATTTAGCCCCAAACAGGGTAACTTGTCCTTGTGTAATGTTGTATGTCGCAACCAATGACCCAACAGATCTTTTCAACTCAAAAACACACGTGGTGACACTTTTGACTCTTCGCCTTTGAACAGTACCACCGGGGGGCGACTCTAACTTCCTGTACGGGTTCAGCTTTGCGTAGACACTGATCCTGGACCAGGTCTGTCAACTCACCACCTCCTTCTAAACCCGACCAGCCTGGGACTCTAAATCTGATCCCAGATTATCGAAGGAAACTGGAGCTTTCGGTAGAGGCGTAAAGCCGGACTGGCGCACATGCTGGCGCCGTGAGCAGCTACGTTTCAGACAGGCACCCGCAAGGACCAATCAAACAACTCCCTGAACAACAGCCGTCCAATGAACGCTCGCTGTCCAGTTAGAGGGGCGGGGCTTCCGAGTGGGTGTGAGAGAGGCAGCAGCAGCAGCAAGACGAGGTCAAATACACTGCAGGAGTTTACCAAAACGTGAAGCTGTCTCCAGGAAAGACACACAGGTAGTCCACCATGTTACAGCAGTCCACACCGTCCACACCGTTGTTGTTATAGTCTCCGGTTAGAGGTAACGCGGCGGTGTCGCGGTGTATTGTGTCCGTGTCGCAGCAGCAGGCAGTTCGAGATAACGTCAGCTAATATTGATGCTAACGCCGAAGCTACATGTGCTCGTACACAGCTCGGTCACTAACGTTACAACCGGAGTAAAAGCATGGTTTTCTGCTAGCCAAGAGTCTGAGTTATCATCGGTTTAGAGTGAATGCATGGTGCATCTCTGCAGACGATTGGCTCTGGCTGCGGTGTTCGTTAAGAGCTGACGTTGCTGAACTTTACTGCTATTCGTTTTGCCTTTTGGGAACTCGCCACGGTCACGCAGCTGTCATGTTTCACTCGGTTCCCCGTCGTCCGATCTGCGACATCGGTGTAAATGCAATGAGACTTCAAAGCACCAAGACGTTCAGGCGGACTGTGGAGGAGGGCAGGGCGAAGCTTGAGAAGGTCCCCTGGGTGGGCCTGCTGCTGTCCTGGCTCCAGAGGGCAAGTGTCGGCGCTGGGGAGGCCGCGAGATCCGGCCATAAGAAGAAGGGGTTGCTGTCCATATTTGCGGACCACTGCAGCTTTGTGACCGGACAGAGGCTCCGGCGTGCTTGTCAGATCGGCGAGCTTTACTCCAACCTGTACTCCGAGCGGACCAGGTGGACCCTGGTTGGCAACATATGGCGCAGATTCCAGAGCAAGCACGCCCCTACTGGGAAACTTGTCGCGGCCCTGGCTGGCGTCTTCTTGTGGGACAATGAGAAGATTAAAGATGAGGAAATTCGCAGGTTTGAAATCTTTCTTTAAATGCACATATGGATGTATTTGTGCCTTGACATACCGGTGGATGACTTGTGTACAGGACAGGAGGCTGACACTGATTGGCTCCTTTAATTTGTCATCCATCTGTATGTGTACTGTATTTCCTGTGGCCTAACAACCTGTCCTGTTTGTTGGTGTGCCTTTTTGGAAGGTGTGGACTTGAGCTGCAGGCGCTGGATGCTGCAAAATGTCTAAATACAGCTTCAGGGACAGCGTCTGGACAACTTGAACCTGGCTGGGAAATGGTGATGGAGAAGAAGGACTTCAGAGTGTGGAAGCGCCCTATACCCAACAGTCACCTTTATGAATACAGAGGTCAGCCAACTTACAGTCTCACATGTGTAAACCAGGTCTCTGAAATGCAGATAAAGCCCACATTATCTTTTCTCGGAGTTGCTCTTGTGCTTTGGGTTTTTCCTGGTATGATGTTGGTATAATTTAAAGACTCAGCACCTTTTTATTTATGTTTTATTTGCAGTGTTGGGCTCGTACAATGATGTCACCCCAAGGCAGTTCTTCAATGTACAGGTAGAAACTTTTCAAATCTATAAATATGTTTTCTGGCACTCCAATTCTTTATCAGGGTTTCGGTTGTGCTGACTTATGAACAATGTGAAATGTTTGTATTACTGAAATAAAATTACATTTATGCAAGTGGATCCAAATGGTAATTGTAGTAATTTAGTAAGATTTCATGTTTGTTGCTGTGGGACTTTTATTTTAAGGATTGTGTTTTTGGAATGTTTATGGCAGCTTGTTTTTCCATTACCCAGCTGCTCTTGCACAACCAACGTGTGCACAAAAGCAACTGTAACACTCCCTCTATGTGCTATATTAAGCACCTTACCCTTCACTTATGCTTTCCCTTTCCCCCAGTTGGATACAGAGTACAGGAAGAAGTGGGATTCTCTTGTTATCAAACTAGAAGTGGTGGACAGAGATGTCGATACAGGCTCTGAAGTTGTGCACTGGGCCACACATTTTCCTGTAAGTCTCTGTTGTTTGCTGTTTAAAGGGAGGAGGCTGTTTTTTAAAAATGTGTGTACACAGGCACGTTTCACCTTTTTGTGTTTTGTTAACGCAACTATGATTGACCTTGGCTTTTCATTTGCTCAAGAGCAACTACTAGCCAAGTTACAGTATATTCATCAGTTTTTATTTGAGACTGTCTGCTTTTATTTAATCTTTCATTATTCTCTCCTCACAGTATCCCATGTACTCGAGGGACTACGTGTATGTGCGCCGCTATAGTGTTGACGCAGACAACAACCTGATGGTCCTGGTATCCAGGTGGGACTTAAAAAATCATGTGTTGCTTGAGTCAAATATAGTTCAGATTTATTACATTGCTAAATGAGTAACTTGTTTTTTTTGCCCTGTGTATTTGTAACTCTGTAATATAGAGCTGTGCAGCATCCCAGAGTCCCAGAGACTCAGGAATTTGTGAGAGTCCATTCATACCAGTCAAAGATGGTCATCCGCCCTCACAAGTCCTTTGATGAGGTTTGTGTTGAATGTTTTGCTACACAAATTAATTTAACTTACAACCAGGGTCCTGTTTTGTTGCCACTTTTTGTTTTAATTTGTGTGTTTTTCTTTACAGAATGGATTTGATTACCTGCTAACGTACAGCGACAACCCTCAGACTGTCTTTCCCCGTTACTGTGTGAGCTGGATGGTATCAAGTGGTGAGCATTTTTGTTTATAATAATATAATGATTATTTTCATAATCATATTTCAAACCAATATTTCAAAGCCCAAAGAGTTTACAGTGACAATAAGCACCAAATTATCACACTTAAGAACTTGGAATCTGCAAATGTTTAACATTTTTCTTGCTGTTACATTTTATATGCTTTATATTTCTTCCCTCATACATTTCCTGTTTTCCTATTGAGTATGCATATCCTACCCTGATAATGAAGAGACTCTCTCCCTTTGCACCTGGCAGGTATGCCTGATTTTCTAGAGAAGCTGCATACTGCTGCCTTGAGGGCCAAGAACTTGGAAGTGGGGATCCACGACTACGCAGGTGTCATTAAATCCAGTGACACCAACCGCCAGCCGAGCCAGGAGCGCCTCAGCGGAGAAAGCCCGCACACAGGTGGCCCTGGACAGATCTACGCTTGAGATGGATATTTATACACCCGGGGTTGTGTTGGTGTGTTGTCACTTGTACTTGAACCCAAATCAAACCCTCCGGCCAACCTTTTCAGTACATTGTGTGAACTGCAAATGGATCTCGCAACCATAGATGTGGTTATATTGGTTGTAAATGAGATCTCACAAGAACAATTGGCTGTATTGGTGACAGCATTACTGTACTTTGGATAAAATGTTGCCATGGAAATTTTCATCCAGACTGCTGGCTTTGGGTACTGCTTTTCCTTGGCCAGGCAATGCCATGTGAAGTTTCTTGCCTCCTTTGGTAATGATGTGTGTCTTAGAACCGTTGGTAGGATAGAGCCAAAATTCCTAACTGTAGAGACACTTCTGCCAAAGCACTGTTTCTCCCATTTTAACATTCTTTGTCTTGTCTTCCATTGTTCAACAAGGCTTGACTCAGTGGCTGTTCAGACCGCCGGCAGCCACATCATTGTATTAGTGTCTGTGGTGTGATTCCAGTGAGAAGTTGTGAAAATGCTGGTGCAGTATTTGACATAGAACGGTTACTATTACTGGCTTCTGGTCTACATTATTACAGAAACTTAAAAACTATGGCCATGATTTCTGCACTGACAGATGAAGAATTGAGGCCTCGGCGGGGAGCACTTCCTAACATGTTTCTTCATTTCATAGATTTAAAGCAACTGGTTCCCTGTTTGTGTGCAGCATGTGTGATTGATTTTTAAATGACTGGACAGGATGGATTAAAAAAAAGCTTAAAAATAGGAACATTTGCGCTAAGAATTTAAAAATAAAAACTCTAGGGCTCCTTTTGGGTTTTGGGAATGGCATTGTTTCGCTGTCAGCACAGTTGAGGGTTCACGCTGTCCATCTCACCGCGTTTGTTTGAAACTGCCAGCGTTGACAAAACAGCCTTCTGAAGATAAACCAGTCCTTCAGCATTAGGGGCGTAGTGTCTTATAACAACCACATAAATCCTCAGATACAACGGTACTGATGGGCTTCAGTTTAGATGTGCTAGCAAAGCAGCACTACAAAGACGCATGTTTAATAAACCAATGCCCTCTTCAGAGAAACGTAGAGTAGTTGTGTCACTTCCATTTCATACAAGTTTTTAAAAAATTCAGTTGTCTCATTTCAGCTCATAAATTCTTTTGTTATCCCGGTGTTCACATCACTTGTAGCAGACGTCACTTGAGTTTGCACTATTGGAGTTATGTGTGTTTGTGTTTTTCTATGTTACTGTAGATCTTGTACATTCATAAAACCATTGCCTGAGTACTGGAAAACCCTGTTCGTATGAGTACAACAACCTCTGTAACACGTTTGTCCAACATTGTGATTCTTCAGTTTTTGTTATTAATGTGGGTCCTACTGAAATGCCATATAATTCATCCTTCCAAATCATCCTTGTTGCTTTAGTAGTTAACTGTGGGGGTGTTATGAATGTACAAAGAGCACCACATGCTGTGGCATACAACACGGCCTCATAAAGTACACTGTTTACAGCCTGACAATCTGGCGCAAATATCTTGGAAATCCGTTTGTGTTTTAAAATAAAATCTCATCTTGTACTAAAATTTTGTCATTTGTTGTGATACATCAGAGTGATCAGCTGCAGTAACTAAATAAAGCAGTACAGTGGGATCCATTTTGTGAAGGTTTTCCCACATGTGAGTATCGAGTATTAATACATCCCCACTGTATCAAAAATGTGTATAATTCTGTATTTCTGTCTTCTTTTTTTTTAAAATGCCGATGTGAGATACACAAGATATGTTAACAGTGTATGGGGATGTTTTTTGATATTTATCTCTTGTGTGGTCAAACTAAACTGAGACTTTAAGGAGATCATGATAACCCAATTAAACATGCAGCATTTGCTAATGTTGAGCTTGCGAATGTAACATTTTAATGCTCTGTCATTTGAAGACACCACATGTGAATTACTTTAGGAGCTAAAAGAAATGTGTGAATATGAGCTGGTGCACTTGTTACCCTGTGATTTCAAGAATTATTGAAATGGAAGAGCAACTAATCAGATCAAATAAACAGATCCTAATTTACTGTGTTCAGCTGTTGATTGAGCAATGGTTTTGACCTTGTCTTGGTAGAGAAAAGGGTGATTAGCACTGTTTTTGTGCAAAGCAGCCACCGTCAGCCAGTCTAATGGGATAATCTGTAAAACCCTACTGCCTGTCTGGGCAAAAGGTCAGTGACGGACTGCACAGAGGCTCCACGGTTGACTGAAAGCAGTCTGCTCAACTTATCAGCTTGGAAGAATACTCTGCTGTATCCTAAAACCAGACTGCATATTATTTCTACACATTATACACTAATTGTCACAGAATACTGTTTTAGCAGTTAGTACACAAAAATATCAACATACTTTCCATTTTATACAAAGGCTATGAGTCAATATGTGTAACGTAATGTCAAACCTTGGAAAGCTACTGCCATTTTAACTTACATTTTAAAGTACAATGAACACAAATATTTTTATGGAGCTGTTTCACAACATCCACCATTTTTTTTATTTAATTATCCAGCTTCGTAGCTCCTCCGTTTTCTTTGTGCATTTATTGCATTGTGGGAGAATAATGTCCATCAACAGCACGCTCCAAAATCCACCTTACACGCACAAAACCTGCTTAGAATCAGTGTCTAGTATAGTGGTCTGTGTTGTCGGCTCAATTGTTGTTGGAATATAGCATTTTAGCTTAAAGCAGCAACATGGTTTTTGTTGTGTGGCCCCTGTGGACAAAAGTGGTAGTGTTTCCCCTGCCTTGAATCCGACCCGGTGGCAGGCATTAACAATAACTAAATTTATCTCAGCTTCTTGCTGATGGTCATGTTTGTGTATGTTAGTCATTTAGAGGCATCAGTTAAATTGAGACCGTTTCGTAACCACTGAGTTGGCTGTACAGAAATTGTTCAACGTCAGTCAAACTCTTGTAGGTTTTGTTTTGAGGAGCTTACTGAATATTATTCCTTGAAAGGTCTTGGTTGTGCATCTAATTGTGGTTGCTGTGGTCTTTTTGATTTTTATTTTATGAAGCCTCTCAGTCTTACAAGAGAATCTCCAAAAGGCTTTTTCATGGAAGACATTTTGACACGTGACAGCAGGAAAAGCACACGTTAATAATAAAATTAAAGATTTCCATTTAGCTGCTTCAGTTGAGGGTCTGCTTTTGTTCATGCTGTCAGACTGTCATCGTTTACTGGGACACTTGAAAAGAATGGATTAATGCATTAATGTTTGAGTAAATACACGTGTGTTTGAAAAAATAAATGCATTCGAGATGGCAGCTACACTTGAGGAATTACATCACCTCATTCATGGTGGCAATCCCATAAAATAAAGGTGTAACCACAATGACAATATATATCATTTTAACTGTGGCACATACAAAAAAGTAGGGTGTATTTTTATAGGAGTATGTTGTATACTGCAAATGAATGAATCAATATTTCTCCAGGATGCAGCGCATTTACTCAGTATAACATAACAAGACTGTCATTTTGACAATGATTTACATCCAAAAGTCTTACATCAGTGTTTTATAGTGTACATTATCTAATGTCTGCAGCGCATGACGTATTAGTAGGGCTGAATCAATTAGAATAAGATTCATAAAGAAAGGAGGAGTCCGGTTTAATCACTTTAAATTTATTGGTTAAATGCACTAGTTGTGATTTGACTTATGGGACAACATAGACTGAAACATAAGTAGCTGTATAGAAACAAAACTCAGATAATTTTATCATCACTTCAAGAGTATAATATTACTGTCTAAAACACATGGGCCTGTATGTCTTCGGGTTTGATTTACAGAACAGTGATGTGTCTGCAGTTTTAACTCAATGACCTCCACTGGCTGACATTATTAGCCATAGTTAAAAGCCACTGAGCACTTATAGTAATTGACACCAACCAGGTTGTAGAAAATGACAGTTTTATCTATATGAATGCTATAAAACCCTCTAAGTCCCACTCTTTCTCTTTTTTAAATCCATTTTTGCTCTTTATTCAACATAAAAAAACTACTGCAATAAAACACACAGGATGTTTAGATGAGATTTATTGGTCATAATCCTACATCTTAGTGTTCAACTTGAGATAAAACAACATGAATAAGAAAAAAAAACAATATTAGAGCCTGGAAGTGATAAATAATAATCAAAATCACCTTATGGTTATTGGTCCTTTGGGTTGTGCTCCGGAGTCTTAATTTCCTACAAATATTCTATAAGTTCTATAAGTTCTAAGTCCCATTTTAGTGTTCAATTCATTTATATTTTATTACTCACGTGAAAATAGAAATTTGACTTTTTAAAATAGCTTGGGCGTTCTCAACAGAAGGCAGATAGTGCTCGCAAGCCTCCAAGGTGCTTGGCACAACCATGGACAGAAGACACACTGCATGGTTAGATCAAGCACAATGGGGTCCTGGGCAAAGACAGAGAACCCAACGCAGATCACAGAATTCAGTTCAACATAAAGCGTCCGAGAAACTCGAAAGCTTTGTCACTTGGGTTAAATGTTAATGGAAGTAAAGGGAAAAATCAGTAAAACAGAACATATCTTTTTGCTTTTGTTAGCCAACTTATCTTTGCTGAGTGGGGTGAAGTACCCAACTTCCTAAAAAGAAACACATAATCGTCAAAGTATTTTCTGGGTTCTTACAGTTGAAGGACAATCCCACTGTTCGTTTTCAGTCAAAGAGTCGAAAAAGTCCAAAGGTGTGAGGGAGGGGATCCGGGTTCATGGATTAATTGTTGAAAAAGAAAGAAATACATTGCACCATTGGTTTACATAATGTTTAGCAAAGAACAATAACACAGTTACAGTTAAGAACATCTGCAGAATTAAAAAAAAAAAGATTAGTCATAGGTCACACTCACTGCGGAAAAAAAGGGCTACACCCTTACTGCGCACAAACTGCGTCAAACCCCACCCTCATGTCCCTCGCGCCCGACTCTCCCAGACATCACTGAAAAGAAATTCTAAAAATTCTATCACAATTATTTGTTACAAAGAAATAAGAAAACATTTTAAAGAAAAGATTTACAGCAGGCCTGAGGAATGGTGGCTTAATCAAGTTAGTTCTCCATCAGTCTATTGGGTGATCAATGGAAACAGAGTTTGGGTAATTCGTCAGTGATCTTGTTCGGAACCGCAGCATCTTATAAAGTCCACTCTCTAAAATTTTACAAGTAATTGACTAAAAAATAAGTCTTGGTAGCCAAGGATACCACTGGACTCATGAATGATACTTATTGCTGTTGTCCATCTGAGGACATTTGCCGTCTTCTCAGAGTAACAGACACAACTCCTCCTAACGTTTTAGTCCTAACTATGTTAACGGTCACTGAGTGCAATGTCAAGAGTCATGCTACCATCAAGTTAAGAGAACTGTTTCTCCAAAAGGTTTGCCAATCTTGTTACTGTCTCCTGTGTCTCTTCCAGCTCCCCTGGGACATCTTAATAAAATGAGAAGGCATTGGTGCGATAATCAACTTAGAGCTCCTGCAACTGAACCACTTTGTGTGATGAAATTACACCACAGTGCATATTAATGCACCAAAGAGAAACCCTGCGTTTGTTGCGACCAAATGGCACAAAAATGGGAGTACTTTGGGTGAAAATGGTGGGCGGTGGCGGTGAAACAGACTTCTGTTTTTCAGAACAATGAGGATGTTTCAAAGGGATGCAGTGTGGCTGATGGGGTGGTGTGATGGTTTTAATGCATGGATGATTATGATACATAATTATGCATCCTTACCTTGTTTTCTTCAAAGAATTGCCATGGATGACCAGTCAGGAGTTGCAGTTCAAACTCATGCGTCTCATAATCTATTTCTATATTTAACTCAAAATTATTAAACATTTTGTAGTAATTTACCATTAAAAGTAACTGATTTAAAACAAAATGACAAAAAAATGTCATAAAATTCTCTTCAGACTAAGGGTCAGTGTGACCGACCTAACAAACTATAAGTACAACACTATAAATATACGACTTAGTTGTAACTTACTCTGTATTTTACTGACAACCTCCAGTTGCTGTCTTTGGAAAGTAACTTCTACACATCTTGTCTTTCCAAGGAACCCACCTTTCCATCCTCTGGCCCCAAAGTCGATGTTAGGTGCAGCCGGTTGAGGGGCGACAGAGGCGAGTGGGTGCTCTGAGCTGCGTCTTGGGGTCTTCTAGCTTGCTCTACTGGAGGCAGACTGTCCTGACTGCGTCCTCAGCACCCTTCAAGTCCCCATCTCCTGCCCCTCCTTCAAGCTAGGAGGGGTTGGTGATGTTCTCTTGGGATAGGTGCACTGGCAAGGAGGACTTGGTCAGGCTGGGATTGGATGTGGGTTGGGGAGTTTGGGGGGGCCGCTTGTTCCGCATTTCATAAATATTAATACAGAGTCCTCCCCTCTCCAAATGGGTAGATTCTTTAATTTTGTTAGAGGGGGAAGTGCTTTATTCACTTAATGGCTTTTATTAGTGCCCGGTCTTCAACTCTTTCATTAGCTAAAGTGCTGCTATAATTTACAGGGTAAAAGGGGGTGGGGAAGAGGTGGTGTCTGAGGAGGGTTGATCCTGCTGCTGTGGGACAGGCATGCAGTACCCTCCACCACTGCAGCTTTTCCTAAAAAGTAGCTATTCTTAGTAAGAACAGTAGTCTATAACACAAAATACACTTAATTATGTCCTCATTGACCATTATAGTGTTGTTTTACTGTTGTCTCTCTTGCACATCTGCTTTTTTTAAATATCCATTAACTTGAATCCTGTTGCATATCTAAACACTTGTTAAACATCCAAGACTAACATTGTTCCAAATACAGCACTTAATTATTGTTCCAAATACAATAGTTAATGGACAATATTGATAGCACTTCTGACAATTAAATGGTTTCTTATATATGAGCAGAAGAAAATGTTTTTTGTGGTCTTGCAAAGTAGTTTCTCTTCTCAACCGCACAGTCAAGATTTATTTCATTGGGTACAAATATTGAGATAATCTTTCTTTTGCATATTGTATGATTTCTTTTTCTTTATGGTAAATGCTGATAAGCAAGATTGGTAAAGTTGCTGTTTTTTATACTGAATGTATGTATCTTACATGCTTATTCTATTTTATACTTTCTATGCATAATATATGCTTAAATGTAAGGGTCAGTTTATTTAAATGTTACCAGACAAAACTCACATTACAAACGACAGCACCACATCTTTGCAGCGTATTAAATGTGCCATGAAATACGCTCATACACCTTAACAAAGAAGCTGAATTGTATGTAGATTTGTTTGTTTCGATGAAATGTGAATAAAATGAGTCTTTATTCTTATTCTTTATTCTTCAAATTTCCAGTCTGACTATATCATACCATAGTCTTTATACTGGTGTATGCACTGGCGCCATCCACTGCAATTAATGGCTAGTATCAGGTGCTCAGGCACAAAATGGCCACTACACTTCATGCAGGTTGCAACATATTGACATTAGATAATGCAAGCTTCCAGAAGTGCTCCCGGCTCTGATGAAGTGCTCTGTATTTTGCTCTGTGGAGTCTTGTTAGTTGTGAACAGCTGGCGTATGATGTCCCCAGACTGCGTCTGAGTGAATGAACTGATTAACCTGAGTGGCTGTCCCTACCAGAGAGAGGGGGTGGGCCACCAGCCTGAATAACTGCCTTCATCATCAATGTCACATAAATCACTTAACTGGACAGGGCTTTCAAATGAGACTCTTTTTTCCTCTGAGCCAGACTGAAATGGTTGGTGCTGGTGTGTTTCTGAGGGAGACCATGTAACTGTGATGGAGCACAGGATTCAATGATGCAACATTTCTGTGACGCTTCAGACCACATGTAGCATATCATCTGGATTTAAAAACTGGCTACACTTGATTCATATATATATATATACACGTTCATGTGGAAGGATGATATAAATGTCAAGATTGGATATAAAGAAAAAAAAAAGGTTGCATAAGAATAAAACAGCAAGATTCCTTAATGATGTTTTTATTGTACAGATTTCTTAGATTTTATTGCAAGCCTTAACCAGTATTCAATATGAACTATTCATGGTGTTAAGTACTGTAGGTTCTTCTAAATGTGACACTTACATTCATGTCATTTGGTTTTTAACTTAGAGCGAAAAACTCAGGGACCACATGACACAGATGCTCTAATGGATATGTTTGGTGATTTACTGAGCAACTGTACAGAACACTTTGTGATATACAGGCCATGCAGTGAACACTCCTTTTACTTTTTCACCAGCTGGATAACGTCTTCATCCTCCATTACGTGGTCTTTGCCCACCTTTTGAGGGTTGTGTTTCACAGATGACCCCCACACGAGTGCACTGAAAGAGAAATAGTTAAAATCATAAAATAAATAAATACAAATAAATGATTGTACCTGAATGATTACTTTAAGGCAGTCAACAGGACGCATGTCTCATTTTAAGAGCTCATCATTCAGTAATGGACACCTTAATTACACCAAGAAATAATTTGTACAGATACTATTATTCTTCCTTTGCTAGAGCAGCAATGGTTCTGCACTATTAAGTAACCTACAGGGTACAATGACATCCTTTACTTCCAAAGGCTTTCTAATCATGTGTGTCACCGTTTGACCCATTTATTCCCTGGAGGATGGGTAATGCTCTGCAGCATTAACATATCGACTGATTGATGATCTTAGCTCTCCCATTTGGAGATGGTGGTGCAACATTTCTTCTCAGATCCTAATCTGGACTCTCAGATGAACGCTTATCTGGCTTATCTTGGCATAAAAGAGGGCAGTGATTTGTGATTACAGTGGCTGTGTTGCTTTAAACCGTTTGATGACCACTTCTTATTCTGGTGTAAGGTAACTCCATCGATGCCTTTTAGTAAGAAACTTCGTCATCCTTAAAGACACTGCTAATAAATTAACTGGAGTGTGGAATAAAGCAAATAAATAACATTGGTACAGATCTAACTGATCTTCATCAGGTAAGTGAAAACAAATTCACTATTCCAGTTGAAAAGAAACTAAATATTCTGTTGATATGAACTACAAATGAAACTAGAGTTATATAATACTAACTATTCCTCCCTTTAATGTGATTGGATTTCTTGGACAGTATGTGTGGGCAACAGACATTTACCTCCTAAGACAATTGTGATGTACTGAACAACCTAACGTCAAATAACAAGATACAAGACCTACTTCTGCAGGGCGTGGCGTTCAAGATGGCACACATGATCAAATCTGCAAGCTAAGAGAATGAATTCCCTTCAGAAAGTGAAAGATTTAAAACAAGTCTACAGTACTCACTATTTCAATTCTTTGACGAGGTTTTTGTGAATCTTTAAGCAGAAATCCTCAACTGAAGTCCTTTCGTCATGGAGTACAACGGGAGATGTGTAATCAGGAAGCTGGCCTTTAGGTTTAGTGTAGCTGCAAATGAACACAGGAGCTCAGTCAAATTCTGCAGTCTGAACCAACAAAAATGTAAATTTCACATTGATTCCTTGTTCTAAGTCCCCAGCTGTCTTTAACCTCTGTTCACACCCCCTTGTGGTGACTGTATGAACAACTCTTACATGCGCACAAGCTTTAGGTAGTCCCACATCCTCTCCAGCAGGTCATCGAAGTTCCAGCGGTGGTGGGCCGAGATGGGTACACAGTGGGGCACCTTGTAGATGATGTCGAGCTCCTCGATGGAGATCTGATCGATTTTGTTGAGCACATAAATGCATGGGATGTAGACCCTGTTGTGACAAGAGACTGTGAGTGGCTGCTGCTCGTGGCATCGCTGCATAATCAGCAGGCATCCTCTGGTAAACTACATGTAAACTGTTTAGGCTTGAGTCATCCAATACAACTACAAACCAAGAGTAATTTCCCTTGCATTTTTAATGCATGTGTAGCAGTGTGTATGTCGTGCTAAATTAAGAACATGGCATTATGAATTCTTGTAGAGTCCTATCTGCATTTAGCAGTGACCTTTATTTTGAAACATTTTCCCTTATGCTTCTCAAACTAATGTTAATGTGTTTTAGTGGGAAACACTTTTTAATGTAGAATTCACATGCTTTCCTGTGAAAGTGTCATAACAGGTAGTTTAGCGACCCACAAACCAGACTTTGGGTTGCACTTCTGCTAGCTTTACTTCCTCCATTTGTTCTGTCCCCTGGGAAGTTATGCACGTTCTTCGCTCTTTTACTTTCAGTGTTTGCTATATTTTTGTCACTAAGTGTAAAAGGAAAAGATGTAAAAGTTGAAAGTGTAAAGTCACATTTAAAGACAAATACATTTCTGTACTCATTTTTACATGTAGATATGTTAATTAGAAGAGAATGTTGTCAAGGCATGTGTGTGGCAGGGATGCTGCAAAGCTGGAAAGGCACTGTAATATAAGTCTTTTCCCTGGGAAAGCACAGAGAGCATTTATAGCAAGAGTGTCCCTGTGAATGCTTTGTTTCTCAACAGATGCAGGGAGGTTATGCTGTTGCCATGTCCGTTACCTTGCAATAAAACGCTGAATGACTGTCCTGGGAAGTAAGATCCTTGTCCAATATGCAACACTAGCAAGCTAGACCCACTACACGCTCCCCAGCCCACATCATCCAGCCTACATCATCCATGTTCTAAATTTTAATACATTTGTTGAGTTTTTATATTTAATTACACTGAGAAATAGTAATCCCATAGGTTTTTAAGTAAGACGGGCCATTGCTTATCGAGATGTTGCACTTTATGCATTAAACACGTGTGAAAGTGATGTGAAAATGCACGTCTGCTTGGAACAGCATGAACAGCATTTTCAAATGCATCTGCATTGGTGGAGTGGGAATTGAAATGGGATTGAAGATTTCAACAAGCCACACCCACTGGGAATGACTAAGAAAGGCCCATTCTAGCACTTCAGCAGCTTACCGATTTCCCTCCACCACGTCAATGAGGTCATCAGCTGTGGAGTCGCTGCGCAGAGTGATGTCGGCATTGTGGATCTTGTACTCTGCCAGGATACTCTTAACAGTTTCAGCATCCAGCTCAGTTTGCGCACACTAAAGATTGGCAACAGGGGAGGACAGGCATGATGTCAATACACAGAAGACAGTGAGACATTGGAAAAATAAATACCTTAAACATACCAACAACAGGTTGAATAATGGATGATTTTTCACATTTTACAATTTACATCATGCTTCAGGTAAATGATAATGAAAGCCTATGAGGATAATATGCAGGAGCAACTTAGTTAAATGTAATCTTATGCATATCCAGCAGAAGGCAGCATTGAGAAGTGTTTCAGTGTTTGTTACTAAGGCGATGAGACGTGGTTATGTAAAAATGTGTTCGATTCTGCAGATCAATTTAAACCTTTAAAGAACTTTATACACACATACCGGTTATTAAAGGATTTTATGTGTTTGTTTAAACTAATGAGATACCAGAAAAATTCCCATCATCAAAATTAACTGACAATCAACTGCTGACAACTAAAATCCTACACGCCAGAATAATGGCAGTATTAATGGACATCCTTTAATAGACTATCAGTGTATAGAGTAATGGTTCTCGTTATGATAATCTCACTTTTCTAGCTCATCAGTCAGTGAATGACAACTAGACAATCCGCATGTAGAAGACACACACACCATCACTTAAATCAGCATTATTCATTTCAGTGACTCACTCAGAGGTGATCATTTTGAGAAGTTAAGATTTCTGTATTTAATTTTAACACATTCCGTTTGAGACATACTGTAGCTGTGAAGTTGATGCCTCCTTTGTCCTTCTTCTTAAAGCCGATGTTGGGTGGTTGCTTGTTAAGTCGGATGCCAAACCCTTCCAGCTCGTGTTCTATCAGCTTCTTATGGCCAAGAGGCTTCAACACATCGAGCACTATCAGGATTAAGTTGCAAGTTCGAGCCACTAAAGCAAAAAGGAGGAGGGAGAAGCAGACACTGGTTAAAGCATGAAGGATTCACATCACTTCTGTAGCGCATACAGTATTTATCCACAGCCCTTTAAGAATAGTAACACTCATGACGTTGTACTTTTTCCTGCCACCATTTGAGCACTGGAATGAATTTGATTACATCATGGCCTCTAAACATCACCTTCCACTTGTTAATTAAATTTCATTTTGCCTCTTTGCTGCCATTAGAAGCAAACAGTCATGACAAAAGCAAGTCTCTCATTAAATGGAACAACAGGAAAAGCATAACACTTTTGCACCAATTTCAGTAGGGAAATAACTCAATGAAACTGGTATCATCCTTGATTTATTTGTCAGTCTTAGCAGAAACCTCACTGACCACATCTTTACCTGCAATGACCTGTCTGCCTCTGCCCTTGCCATCCTTGGCCCCCTCAATGATTCCTGGGAGATCCAGGAGCTTAGAGGGAAGAAACAAGAAAGTAACATAAGTATAACACTGCAAACATACCACACTGAAAACACCTTTATTGAACAAATAAGAAAGCCTAGTACCTGAATTTTGGCACCTTTGTAGCGAATGACTCCTGGTACCGTCGTAAGGGTGGTGAACTCATAGGCGGCAACCTCAGAGTACACGCCTGCAAGGTTACTTAGCAGTGTAGACTTTCCCACCGAGGGAAAACCAACAAAGCCAATACGAGCATCGCCAGTTTTTGCAACATCAAAACCTAAAGACAAAAAAAAAAAAGGAATAGCAAACTTGAATCAACCAAATATCAACTTTGATGCTTTAAATGACAGAAAATGGGTTTAAACAATGTTTGTAATAAAACCTGTAACTGCACAAAGTATTACCTTCTCCTGTTGCACCACCACTACCTCCCTTTGGTGTGATGAGTTCCCTCCTCAGTTTGGCAAGACGTGCTTTGAGCAGACCCAAGTGGTGAGCTGTGGCCTTGTTCCTCTGCGTCCTGGCCATCTACAATTCACAGCAGCAACACCAGCATGAGGTCTTACACTTGTTTTTTTTGCATGTAGGTTTCATGGTAACCAGTGAGGAGAAGTACCGTAACACCGTTTTTACAGGTAAAACTATAGATTACACATCCATAACAACAGCTTGTGCTCCCTGCAACACACTTGTCCAGGGTGTTTCTCTGCTCTTTGTCCATCGCATGCTGGGATATGCCTGAGCCCTCCGCAATTTTGTATCACAATAATTGGGTATGAAGAACTGAAGCATCGTGCATCTTTTACAGATTTTTATAGCTTAAGATAATTGTGTTATTGTGAATGTTTTGCAATAAAAATGCCTCACAATAAAACCCCTCACTGCAACCCAACCCAGTTTTATACTCAAAAGACAGACTTTAGGAGATATCCACTTAATATGATTTACTCAGACTACTGGAGCCTTATATTAGGTCAACTTTGGAATACACTTTTGCACAGGCTGTAGATTTTATCCCCCATCACTTACACTCATTAGGAAGAGATATTTTAATAGTCAGTATGAACAGTTTCAGTGTTCATATTAGGGCTGCACAGTAAATCAAAATATGATTGAAATCACAACATGGACATGTGCAATATTCAAATCACAGAGGCAATTTTTTGATGATGAAATGACAAAATACAGTAGCTCTGGCATGAAAATCTTGTTCTCCAGATTTAAAATAAAACATGTTTGTTCAAATAAAGATTCCAACAAATTTCACGTTAAAATATTCTTTTTTTTTCTGTGAATATGCAAAAATGATCTTTCCCATACTAATCATAAATTATATAATAATATCTGTAAAATAAATAAGACAACTGCAATATAATCTTCTTTTATAATACTGTGCAACCCTAGATCACTATTGATTAAATACAGCCTCAAAAAACAGTGAATCTATCTAACTGGCTGGTGGGATATAACAGACCTCAGTGTGATAGTATCTTAACAGACCTGTGCTTAATCTGTTTTAATTGGAGGTAAACTGTTTTATTTTGCTTTGCCTCTCTTTAAGGTTAATTTATACTAACCCTTAAGAACCACCGTTAAGTGCATGTTTCTTCTTGTATTATCTCTGCTAAAGTACTTGGAAATGATCTAAACTATACTTCTTAACAAAAGGTCTTGTCCAAGGCTACTTTTAAAACTTACAAATGCCTAAAACACAGCATAAGACAGCATGTTACACACAAACTAGACCGATTTAATGCGAGGAAACATAGTGACACGTCGCTGGCTACTAAAAATAACCCCCCAAAACAGCTGTCTTTGATATTAGTCTAATTCAGGACTAATATTTGATGTTTTATTGGCACCAGGAGTCAGAATGATGTGAGTTTTAACACTGTACCCGGTTGCTATGTTGATTTCCAGCCAATCAAACCGAACCAGCACTAACCCGTATCTATGCTGACGACCATCATCTACACAGTATTTCATCATAGCTTATTGGAAAGTGGAAGGAGCACGTTAAGGTAAAGTTAGAAGCAGCTTTTGAATACACATTGTAGTCTGTCGGAGAGATATTAAGGCGTCCTGCGGGGCCCAGCTGTGGGAGCCAGGCTAATATTTGCTAGCTGCTTAGCTAAAACGTGTCCGATTATTGAGTTAGCCAGCTGTCCACTGAGCTTGTACCTTACCTCGTTCTCAATCTCTGCTATTTTGGCGAGTATACTCATGGTGACTGGAGTTCCTGTGCACTGCCGACGTTACCGAAAAAAGTTTGAAAGATTTAACATGGAAGTTGGCAAAAACTTAGATGTAGCTAAGCACGCTAGCCTACACCACGCAAGTGCCGCTGTGCGCTGCTTCGCGGGAAATCTCGCGAGAACAGAGTTGGTTGGAGCAGGTTGCCCCGGTTCGTTGACTTACAGGACAAAGGTTGAGAAGAAGAAACACATAATCAGATTTGGTTTGGATGGAGATGATTGAGTTATATTGCATTATACTGAGAGGACAAAGTATCAGAGTCAGAATCAGGTTTAATTAGGTTTCACATAGAAGGATTTTGCCTGTTATATTGGTGCATAACAATAAACATAGTAAAATATATGCTTTCATCTTTATTTTATGATACATTATACTTCTACACTACACACTATATACCTAGATATAGTCCACTACATTTTCTTTTTTTTACAGCTGAAATCTCTTATTGCTTTTCAAATTAAGACACATAAAAACACATGATAAGCTCACAAAATACAATGTATTGTTTAAAGATTGTACTAGTGGACTCCTTGTTGCCAAACAAGCCTCTTTCAAATGTCTTTGAATTATTAGCAGTTGCACCATAGAGACATATCACCTCTAGACTTCATTGATGTTCTTATTTAAGTAACAGTTTGAGCACCAAGAACTTTATTTCTTCCCCTTTTGTGTCCCAGTTATCTCAACGTCGACCAGCTTCAACAGTATAAGGCTGTTAACACACTGATGCATCTGTAACAATCTAATAATGTCATTGCATATGTCAGTCCAAGGGGCCATTTTTCTGAACAGTGAGTACTTCAGCTTTTAATACTTTTTTTAGGACTTCTACTTTTAATGGAGCTTTTTTACATCGTGTTACCTTTACTGAAGTAAGTAAAGCACTTCTTCCACCAGTGATGGTCAGCCTCTTACAATGCCTACAAGTTACTGCGTAGGGAACATTTACCCTCTGTATACATATGCACACCTCCTTAATTTGTCTCCACTTATTGGTTGATCAAGGGAAAGTCAAGAAAGCTTGCAACACCAAATTAAATGAAATTACATTTAAAAATAGATTAACATATATGTCAGTGCAATTGTCTTACCTGTAGTGCACATTTTAACAAGTCATTTTTAATACAAATTCTTACACAATAAAAAAGGACCCAGGCCTGTCAAATTGTATATTTTTATTGTTTAATTGTTTATTGTTTAAGTCGCATACAGTATAATCTCTCATTGGTTTCTATGTTGCTGAAGTTTGTGGACTGAACATCTGTCATTTTGTTGAGCATCTGATTGACTTGTTGGTTTGTGGGTGGGCTGGTTTAACAAGATCATTGCTGCTGACCAGATCTCCTGTGACCCATGCTATTCTCTGTGAGAGGGTTGCATTAACAACTACGTTCATATGGTGAATATTCATTTCTAGAGGGTATATTGGCCACATCATAACTTTTCACACTGTTGATATGGATATAGACTGTATGAAAGGCCAAGGAGGATATTTAAATAAATGTTTAAATATCTTAATTTGACTTTTGACATTAAAACCTAATCTTAAAACCTAATAAATGCCAGCCACTGTAGGTAGATTTACCAGTTCTGCTCTTGAGTATTGCTCTTCCAGCTCAGCCAACATAAAAATAAATGCAATCTGAAGAATAATGCAGTTTTTAAATAGTCTATAATCAAGTTCAGGAAAGAACCTAATAGACGACTTTGTGTTTGTACCTTAACTCCAGTCCAAGAAATATTAGACCATATGCTAGATATGCTGAATCTGTCACGTCATACAGCCCCTTTGTTGTTGTTTAGTTGTAGGAGGTGTGCTTGTCCTCATCAAAATATATAAAAATAGGCATTTTCTTTTAAAAGGTAGATACGGTTTCAGCGAGTTGTTGTTTAGCATTTGTTGTTACCCAGCTGGGGTGACAGCAAGCATAAATAGCACAGGAAGGAAGGACAGGAGGTGAGACACAGCAAGACAAGGGGTAATTACTGACTTTATGATCACTCCATACATTTCTGCAGACCTCTACAGGTCTAAGTTAATGCTTCTTTTTGAAAACAGAAAAAGGGCTTTGACTTGATTCATCAACACTAGCCACAACTTGAGAACTGATAATAATAAACCCATGCCCAAACATCTCAAATGTTCTTCTTTTAATGAGCAACGCATCTTTATATCATACGTCAGTCAGCATTGAAGTGCATTGATTAAAAAGTAAGTGCAAGTACAGATTTTGATGCATTCATTTTGACTAGAGGATTAAATTATTTGCAACGTCTCCCCAAAAATAGTCATTCTACAGGGGCACTCTGCAAAAGAAAACCGCTATATTTGATGCTGTTTCTAACCTAAAAGATATATGCTTTTTTTCCTCATTTCAAGCTTAAGTTATCTCTGAGTGTCAGTGTGTGGGAGCGATTTTCATCTGCCTTCTGGTGTCAGTTCACTCCAGTCCATCAAACACAGCACTTTTCCTCAATATCACTATCATGCTCCCTGACTAATTTCTCAGTGGTTTCTCAGTTTGTTTTGAGGAACACGCCAACTGAATCACGCCAGCAGAAGCACAAAGTCAGTGAGAAGCACTATTTTAGTGCAATAGTTTCACACATGGTAACCTTGCCACCTAAAACTGGCTATCTCTGCATAGAGATGGAGTAGAGCTCTTATTGTAACCCCATCGATAGGCCTTTTAGTTTTTACTGAGGGAAGCGCCATTTTTGTGGTCATGTCACCAGAGCAAGGATAACAACATCTTTTGAGGTAATAAAAAACAAATAACAGCATGAAGTTATCCATTAAAATGCATTGTCCTCAGTGTCTTGGATTCTGTCATCAGAATTTGGATAATACTTATTGAAACCATAAGGCTTTACGATAAATGCAACTTGGCCATATGATGGCAAAAGTCTTCAGTGGAGGCATTCCCCTTGGACTCTAGCTGCTCTCGGAGGAGGTGGGCGGTGCTGTGGAGGACGACCTCCGTCGGGACACTGACTGTGAGCGCTCAGGGCTGTGTTTGTCATAAGGCTGGAGCTGCACCTCCAGGAAGTCCCTGTGCTGCTGGCTTATGACCTGGCTGATGAGTCCCGGCAGAGCCTGCAAGTTACTCAGTAGAGTCTCCAGCTTTGTCTCCAGCAGGGCAATCCTCTTCTCCATGTCCTCCCCTCTCTCATTCAAGTCCGATATCATGTCATACATGATGTTCTGAGTCTGCAACAGGGAAGAGGAAACACACTTAGCATGATCATTGTCCAAATTGGTGGACAATATTGTATGTGTCCATTATTACAGCTAAAAACAAAGGACTCTTGAATAGTTTACTAAATATGTAGTTGAAAGAGTTCATTCTGAAAAGGAGAGGAAAGGAAATAGAAGAGATTAAGTTTCTTAAGATTGCAGACCGACTTTAAAGAATAGAAAGAATAACCCCATCTGAATACAGTGGCCATTACCAACTATTAATAGCATGACACAATTAGGATTAGTCTGTCTGAAAACAATACTCACATTCTCATATGCATATTGAAGCTTTAATTAACGTTGCAATTGTTCCTTCACTCTGAGATCCGTTTCTGAAAGTGATTTCAGTTTAAGTAATGGCAGACAGAATCCACAGTCATTGCAACGTTAATTAAAGCGCCATGCTTTATAAACATGCATTTTAAATTTCACCTTAAGCAGTGTGAGTTACACACATCTAGTCAATGTTACAGTCTTTTTGGTTTCTTTTTGTGTTTTAGTGGACAGTATTTGATGCTGAGCTACGCTGGGGGTGCACGAAGAGGGAATTTAGTACTGAAAAACTCTTTCAATGTACATATAGGGATGTGGGTATTGTTTTAAGACACGGTTGAAAAAATGTGAACCTATCCTATCTAACACAAAATGCCAAATGAGAAAGCTGATTAGTAAAGCAAAGAAAATATCAGTTATCAACATGAAAGCTGAATTGACAAATGTTACAAGTGGAGGATTTTATTATGGTCCTGTCGTGGCGTCTATGTCATCCATCTTGTTGGCTGCAATTCCCCAGCGACTCTCCCATTGACCTCCAGTCTCAGGGAGCAGAGGTTGAAAGCAGGTCAGGGGGATATCAGGTTAATCAAGTTATTTTTATGCTTAATAGTTACAACCTTGAAAACCAGCACCTTTCTCTTAAAGAGTGACTGAGAAGGGGAGATTTTATATGACCAGTTTACAAGAGTTCGTGCTTCCATACAGACCAGAGTACATTAGCCTATAACCTTGAGGAGACAAGAAAGGTGCCTGCTGATGATGCTTTTCTGCTATTTGGATGCATCAGCCATCTGTTTACAGACCTATATACGTCATGTAGATGCCACATTTTGAATCCAGAGGTTCAGTCTTCAAAAACAGTCAACAACACTCTAAGAAATCCATGTCACATTTCGGATGAGGTGTGGGAGTGATGCTGCTGGAGGGCGGTTTCTGAGGTTTTATTCAGTAGAGGACTAATAATCCCTGGCAGCCTAGAGGCGATGCCATCCATCACTTACCTTGTCCTCTTCTGATTTCATGCGGGAATAATGGGATAGGTTATTTATGTGAATCAGTGAGGACTAAAGTAGCACTGACATCTCTAAACCTGACAACTACTGGAGACAAGGGTTTCACTGTGTTGTATTACTTACATAAACACCAATCTGAGGCTTGGTTTCTTGTCCTTTGCTGATTTTTCAGTGGATCACAAATGCCATTCAATACTTAAACAGGTCACGTAAGGATAACCAAATACTTATGGATGAATATATTATCTTACATACGTAATTCTTCCTCTGATTAAGAAATTAACTGCACCCATGCACAGGCCTACGTGTGGACTGAACTAACCCAAGTCTGGGCCTCATCTGAAAATCATGAAATGTAACAAGAACACATCAAATAGTGATAGCATAAAATGCTAGAGACAGAGAAAAGAGGCCTAGTTAACCACGAAGGAACAAATATCATAAATAGAGGATGAAAATAATGGAGCAGGAATATATAGGGGTTGTTATGGATCCACTTCAACTGTATAATAAAACCACTAATTGACGGTATAATCCAATTTCTGAACGAGAGAGAGAGAGAAATAAGAAAGAGGACAGTGGTAGAGATTGTTTCAAACAGCAATTTCACATGTAATTCAGCATGAATAGAAAAGTGAAGAAAATGCTGTTGAAAGAAACATCATTCAGCCTAACAGTGCATCACTTAAGTCAAATGAAATTGAAAAAAAAAACATCCTAAATTAGGTAGGGGAGATAATGAGTTAAGGGATACACTGTGATCTGAGGAATTTCACATTGCACTGCAGTGGTGATGCAGCTGCCAATGATATGTTCAGCTCTATTTAGCTCCATCTTTCCTCTGGGAGCATAAAGGGACTGAAGCTACACTGCCCTCTTATGGCATCAGACTCTTATAACAACGATTACAACTCCAGCTGAGTGCCACTGGCTATAAGCCACCTTAACCAATGTCACATCCCAACTCTCACTGCTGTTTTACAGCACGAGGTGATTGGGCAATATTAACTAATACTGTTCATGACACGCTGGCCTGAATCCAGTTTGACAGTGGAGTACTTTTGAATGTCAAAGCGCTGTGCCTTTCTCTCCTCTCTTTCTCTGCCTTTACTTGTGGCTGAATCATCAGATCACAGTGTGTCTCCCTTCCCAGGTTACTGTTTCTGCTGTGTCAGGCTGGCGCACTGCCTGGTCTTTCCCTAAGGTTTGTCAACTTCTGTTTAGTGCATCTGGAGACAAACATCAGAGAATACATAAAATGGAAAACGGCACAGACACAAAAGGGGGTTTCTTGTTACTCTCATTCAGTAATTTTCAGCTGAATGTGTCCTGGGGATAGTAGTTTACACTGTAAAATAAAATGTTATTATTTCAAACCCAAAATAGGAGAATCTCAGCTGAGCACAGACAACCAGAAAAAGCACACAGATCTTTTTTTAATCACCTTGTGAACAGCCTGTCTGTTTATTTGACACCTGTAGACTTTGATTATATTAGAAGACACAACTAATTCAGCGAGTGAGCTAGCATGCATTGAATTCAATCACACAAAGGAAAGAAACTTATCAGGATAGTTGTCTATCCTAGTGTACAATGCAGCAGTAGACTGTTAGTCTAGCTTACCTTAGCAAGGTCCACTAGTGAGTTTGCTTGGTCATTCAGCTTGCGTTGCTCCATTTTAACACTTCTCAATCTGAACACAAGACCATTCAGAACCCAATAAATTAAATTAACGCTATCAGAATTTTATCATTAAATTTGTGCACACACAAGGCATACACATGGAGAACACTCCTAGGACATGCACAGGATGTGTGTAGAAAATGCAGGGGTCAGTCTGTTTGGTTGAGCTGCATGCAAGTGGAAAGGAGACCACAGAGGGGGAGGAGAGCTGCCACTGAGGAGAATGAGACCAGCTCTACGTCCTACTCAACCAAAACATACATACAACCATACTAAAGGAATGAGGAGGACTCTGAGAGTATCAGAGCACCTTTGAAGTAAACATCCTTTATCAGGTCCTATAGCTAATTGATATGCCAGATTATAAAACACCAAAAAAAGGCCCATAGTTAAAGTTCTCCTTTAGGTTAAACCAACTTTTCTCTGTTGAAGTTTATGAATTAGTTAGTCACTCCAATATCCAGTATTAACATTAAAAATGTGACATCAGAATTGAGAAAAATCAAAAGGTCTTCACAATCTGCCGCCTTACATTACTTGTTTTTAAAAAAAGTAATGAAAAGACTTTTTCATTAACCGAAAATGCTACTTGTGAAGTCTGCAAAAATGAACTCACCTACACCATACAACATGCTTAAATAATTCATATCTCCTGTTTAATTAGGCTGTTTTTACTCATCTTCTCAGGGGGCTCAAAAACAGCAACTGTGCAGTATTGTAGCGTGTCGACCACACGTGGTTTCGAGATATTAAAGAGGTTGGTTTTTTTTCCTGAATCACCCACGCATGCTAAATTAAACTGGGCACAACACACACACTAACATCATGAGGGCAAGTTTGCCAGAGCCTTATATTGTGATGAAATAATAATAATAACAACTAAAAGCCCTATAAGTAACTGATACATGAACGCAGTTTGAGTGTGTGTTGATCATTAGGTTGTGTGTGAGTTGAAGGCACAACAGTAATGAAGATCGAGAAGGGATTTAAGGGGCCCTTGGGGAGTCTGACAATTAGCTGAGATACACCCATTCTCATGCAATGCAGGATCATTTCTCTGTTTCCTGCAGACAGGCAGATGTGGAGCGAAGATGACAGGTTAGACCAACAGAGGGTGCCACAAGAGTCACTAAAGGAAACTACAGGCAGGGGAAGATGTCCTGACAACTGAGGACTGAAATGCTTCATACAGAGCAGACTCTAAAGACAAGTACAGGGTACTATTGCATTAAATTTATTATAAAGTCATTAAATGAAAAAAGAAAGGAAGGTTTCTGAAATGATGAAAGATAGCAGATATTCAATGTTACATGACTTTGCAGTTGATGTAAGACCTGTTAAAATTATGCATTTCATAGTTGGATGACCAATAGCTGTCAGATGGGGTCGAAGCACAGGGCAGCTCGAGGTCAGGACGAGGAAGCCTACTTGCCCTGTCTTTTATATTCTATATGTCTCTTTCCCTCAGTCAATCACTCCTCATGGGCAGTTCTCCTTTTGAATGGGCACTTTAAATCTGCTTGCTATTCATCAGGGAAAACGGCTATGCTAAGCTTTTCAGTACCCCTCTAAATCAGTCAAGGCAATCTCAGTTAGTGCTGCGCCATATTTTTTACCCCCCCTGACTTGCTTTCTTTGTCATGACCTCCGTTTACCTCATTGTTGAGATAAATGCAAATTTTTCTTCAGCTTAATGGACACGGTGAACATTCTGCAGACTGTCTGTTTTTTGTTTTTTTCCGCCCCTGCTGACAGCTTTACGCTGTCGGTCACAGTCGCAGCCTCTTGGGCTCAAACGGGATTGCTCGGAGGCTTTACCCTGACCTTCCTCTCAGGTCACTTTGCTGTTTCTCCAATCCACTGATCTCTGAGCTAACAAGCACTCACTGTCCTGCTTCTATGATTCCCACTTCAACCTTGTGGATGGAAAGGGACAGCATTCCCAAAGGGGATCTCACTGCACTGAGATGCTTGACTTAAAAGCTGTAATGGCCTAAAACATACTGTAAGACATTTGGTTGCATGCGTGCAACATCATGCCTGTTGTGTGGTAAAAAATGCACCATCCGAATGACCTCAGGAGTGTTTAAACTGTGTTTACTGCCAACTCTTGCTAATTCCTCTTAGTGCAGAGATGCATGAAAGCTGTATATCTGTGTTATTATGCTGTTAACCAGCCATGATAACACCGGATCAGCGTCGTTTCTACTGTGTCATCCAACAGAGAAATGGCGGAAATGTGGCTGCAAATGTAGTAACAGGCGTAACAATGGTTCCACACGCCGAAAGATGACCCTGAGCCCCGATCTGTATGAACATGACTGCTAAGTTGTATAACATGACTTGAGGGATATTATAAATCATATACTTGTACTACTGCAGGTCTGTCTCCTGTAGAGCTCTAGTCATCATCCTTCGGTACGTGAAAGCACAGTTGATTGGAGTTTAATCAGTGGCTTTCTGATTAAAGATCAAATTCTCATCACATCCATGCAGAAATGGAAAGAAAAACACCCTCCATCACCGATAATTGAAATTCATTTTATATGCATCTGTAGGTGTGTTTACAGTGTGCAGCATGTGTCAATAAGAAGAGTAAAACGTGTTTGTGCTGGTTCGTTAAAGCTTGGATCACAAAATGTTGCAAACTGAATGAAAAATGTGAGACTAATGTGTATTTTTATCAAATTGACATGCTACTCAGTTAAACAGACATTTAATAAAAAACCTTTGTAGCAGTAAATGAAAATAATCTGGTGACATTACAATTGTGTCATGTAAAACAATTACAACGTTTTTTGTGGCATGAATTTCACTTATCAAATGAGGGAGTGTAATTTTTTAGTCACATTATTGGGTTCAAGGACAAGCTCTCGTTAGCATGCACACAACAGGTCTGTATCTACATGTGAGGCGAAGACTTACTTTCGAGCTCTATTGCATTGTGTCGACACAAACAGGAAAAAAGGAAACATGAAGTAGACAAATGAATTATTACAACATCAGATAAACATATTCAGATGGCAAAATCTGTTTGCTCAAGTCTGGCTGCTGTAACCCTCATCTCTACACTCACCTCACCTCCGAACAGCAGCAACAATTTATTCTTATACTTATTTCTTCCTGTAACCCGTGTGTTATCTCTTTGTGTTTGTGGTAGCAGCTAGAGTCTAATCTCCTTTTTTCCACACTAGCCCTGGTTATCAGGAATACAGTGAATCAAAACAACCTTCCTGTTCACTACAGTAAACATTCACCAACACTGACTACAGTTACTCAAAGCATCTATGGCTCTATTTAACAACTGTTTACACCTCACATCCTTTACAGTGACTGATGAGGATCTCTGAGAAGAAAGTTTTTCACACTGTCTTGCAGCTTTGACCAGAGGAAGCAGGCACAGTCATATCTGATCTGATGTTTACTATCGCCTCGTGACAGGTCAAGGATGGCTGTAGGCCTTTTCCAACCCTCCACTTGAGTGATCTGCTCGCTGTCAGGCTGCTTCCTCTCCTATATTCATCTCAATCCAGAGTTGTGACTCACATCCTGCAACTATAGGCTACAGGCAAAACTTAAAACTCTCCAAGATAAGGCCTGTAAACACACGACCTCCAGAACAAAACAGAATCTTTATAGGATCAAGGTGTGTCGGGAGGATGTTGACACCATGCTGAGTAGATGTCCTTGCACACAGAGCTGGACGTGACTTTTTCCCACCGAATCTGGCTCTTTATAGATTTTGCTTTAGCTCCGAGGGATTTTCATTATCAGGCTGTCCTAAAGGACAGGAGGTGGACATGAGACGTTGTCGTCACCGCTGCAAATTGCCTGAACATGACAGCAAGGGCATAATGACTCGACAAAGCACCCATGACAAAACGCTATTAAGTGGCGCACAAACCTGGATGCGGGTTGCAGCAGCAGCAGACAGTTTGTGTATTTCTCGACCTTGTAATTAAACATCCCAATGTCTTTAAAACATAAATGTATGTTCAAAAGATTCATGAGCAAATCAAAGTTGCACACAGGAGACCACGAAGACCCATATACATACATAAAACCACAGAAAGCAAACAAACATACAAAAAGGGGACATTTTACTTGAGCATAAAGCTACATAATACCAAAATCATTGTACATCTAGTTACTTATTTTAATAAAGCACTAGGTTGATTGCCAGTTATTGAAAAAAGCCACAGGGTGCATGTGCTTGTAAACACTGTAGGTTGAAGAAAAACAAGAGCGTGGTGAGGCTAAAATCGATACTGTTTTGGAGTTGGATAGCACTTCGGGAGTCCTTGGGGACCCACTAAAAGACTAGCTGACAGGTAAGTGTCTGACCAGCCGCTAGAAAAGTAGAAACCCACATGTGTCAACCCCTGAGGTCAGCATGCAAGCCGACATACAGCGAAAGAGACACACAAGAGTCAATCTGACAGCAAAAGGTGAGAGAGAAGGAGAGAGATCAATATCATACTGCTGTGAAATCTGTAACTCGAGAATATTTCAAGGTAAAATGTGTTTTTTTTTTCAGGAATACTTCTGAGGCTGCTGAAAGACTGACTACTTCCACAATATACCCACATGTTATGGGAAGGTTTCGAATTCTCATTCAGAAAAAAAGCCATTTTACACAAATAGAATATGTAACTTTCATACTGACAATTCTGTTTCTATTCCAAATGGATTACAAGAACCTCTACTGTATCAGTGAATAATATTTACATAAATTTATTCCCCTTGCATATTTTACCATTTTTAATGATGCAGAATCAACAGGCCAACTCATTGTCACATCTGCAAATTTAAAGTTAGTCAGGTCAGGTGAAATATGGTCAGAATCCTTCAATAATATGAGCACATATTTTTGCTACAGGTGTCAAACAATTCAGATTTCAGGTTGGTGTTGCATCGAGTGAATACACTGCTGGATAAAAGGTATTAGACCAACATGAGTGGTGAGGGTTAAGAGCGTGGTACATACTGGTGAATGGCTTGGAGAAATTTCCTCTGGTGCTTTCTGACTCTGGCGTGGTCCATCTTCCTCACCAGTTTGGTGTTCTTATAGATGAGCCACGTCTCCCTGAGAACATTCGCAGCTGTGTTTTTCACCTAAAGTGCAAAAAAAAGGGAAAACATTTGGTCAAGAAGACAGAAAGGTGAAGTATCTGTGATGTCAAAATAACTAAATATGGAGCTTTCGCTTACTCTTTTTGTTAGCTGGGTGTCCATCATAAAATTGTGGACATGTTTTTCAGCTTTGGTTAATTCCAGTTTCTTTGCCACCACAGCCACCACCAAGGCAGTGCAGCCAGCACCCTGTGAAATAACAAGAATGGACAAATATACAATGTGAATTTTTACCTATCATTTCAACAATTTTTTTTCCAGTCATGAAATATTAGTAGCATGTTAGTTACTTTCTGTCAGTCTTTCACAAAAATTGAATGGCAAAAAACAAACAAACAAACAAAAAAAAAAACTGGAGCACTCAGTCTGCTTTTCTCACCATAATGCCAGTCAGGAGGCAGACTCCTTTCCCACAGTATGTGTTTGGGACCATATCCCCATATCCAATGGTAAGAAACGTGATTGAGATCAACCACATGGCTCCTAGAAAGTTGCTGGTTATGTCCTGGTTGTCATGGTACCTGTAATAAATAATAAATGCAATATGTTGACTTTCATGCACCTGGAAAAAAAAGGATGCACTCCAGCTACACCTTATGACTGATTCTCATTTTAAAAAACCTGAAAAATACAAGTACTGTAAGATTAAATAGTTTGTTAAAGAGGGTTATAATCTTTTCTTATAAATCTTTCTATCTTGATGTTCACACAGAGTGAGCTAAGAAGTGTGTACATTATCTATTTTTATGCCTTATCTATGTTTCATGCTCAGCAGTGCAGCATAGCGTGAGAAACTGATCCAGGCACCTCTCGCAAGCTCTCACAGTCCATGCAGCAATGATCCACAGCGAGATGGTGAAGACCAGTAGCACAGTGCCGGGACAGATGGTCATGAGGGTCTTCATCACAAAGCGTGTGTTAAAGTTAATCTTGTTGAGTGCACCGATGCTGCGGGACGAGGCGTCTGTAAAGAGCTTGCTGTGCAGCAGCATGACACGAGCGATGAGGTACAGCCGCAGGAACATGGGGATGGACAGGATGATGTCCACATCCGCATCCGTCTTGGATGGCACATAGGAGTAGGCCAGGCGTGCCGTCCAGGTGAAGGTGTAGTTCCCTGGGATGGGGTGGATGGCGCACACCAAGATCTCCAGGCAGATGAAGAAGATGCGCTCATATGTCATGGCTATCCTCCAGTCATCAGCTGCATTGTCCACCATAAATAACTGCAAGGAAAGGGCATGGTGAGGCCAGTGGAGGGTATAAAACATCTAACATTTTCATCATGGTGACACAGAAAGCTACAGGGAATTATTAAATCTTATTAAACAATAAGTCACAAAAGCCTTGAGTCATTAAATCACATTTTTGAGTCACATTTCTTAAAGACCTTGATAGTTTTTTTTCCCATGTTAAGACAAATTATATATTTACATAACATTATTTTTTGACCATTTTTAAGAGAATAAAATTGATCCAAAACAACATTTGGAGGAGGTACTGCCCAAGAAAATAATAAATAGCTGTTATGATAAAGGGAGAACGCTACACTCTTTCAAGGCCAAAAATGGCCCTCAGATGTGTCCTAAGGTATCTGATGAAGGCTGCAACACTGATGTATCATGCCTTTGTTTTTCTGAATACATTATACAAAGAATACCTTGGTGTTTCATATTTTTTCATGTGTTTTGTTCTGGCTTGTTGGAAGCTATTTGTTTCTATTAATATCTGTACGGTATGAAAATCACAGTGATAAATTATTATTATTATCTATTATTATTTTAAGCTTTTTCATATTAAAGTGAAATGGATGGAATACAATTAAGAAATAAAGCTGGAACCATTAGTCAATTAATTGATCTCTTTATTCTTTTGTTATCTATATAATTGTAAGCTGAATATCTTTGGGTATTTGACTCTTGCTTGAACAAAACAAGACATTTGAAGACATCACCTTGGGCTCTGTGATATAAAAACTAAACTAAAAACTACACAATAAATTGCAAGAATTAATGTAAAGTACACGATTAGTAGTAGGATAGGCCAAATAGCCACATGTGTGTATCCACTAGGACTGAATTCTGCCAAGTTTTCCCAGCTATTCTGTTTCTCTCTCTTACAAAAAATAAAAAATAAGTGTTACATTAGCAGCATGCAGTAAGCATTTTCAACTTCAAAGCGTTATACTGATGAGAACATCTGCCGCCTCCACATTAGCATTAGGTTCTGGTCGCCTGGCCACCCCGACCAGAAGGTAGGCCGTTCCACTGGGGACTTCAGAGTGGGTGGATTTCAGCACCCCCCATCACTCTTCTCCACCCTGTCCTCTGTCGTATACACCAGCTTCCTCACATGGTCACCTCTGCTGCTGCTGCTCTCTCCTCTTGTTCATCCCATCTCTTCATCACCTTCAATCCAATCCACGCTCATCTTTGGCCACAAGATTCACTGCTCAGTGTATTCACCCTGAACTAACGGCTGAGCCTATGACCGCCACCTCCAGCTCATTCACAGTGAGCCCTGATCATGCTTACAATCTTATTCCTCTCATCGGATTTTACATTTGCTGGAGTAGGTTGAGGATTAAATACTATCAAACTGTATTAGCTTCCCTTATATTTGTCAATAACTCCTCTTTTTGACACACCACACTGATATTCCTCCACAGCTGCTCCTTCTCTATCCACTCAATCAACTCAAGGTCCTCCGCCTGCGTACAGGCCGTCACAACTGGCAGCAGATATTTCACAAAATGTTGTTGTCAGCAAATACAAGCGAGGTTTCCTGGTGGCTGTTTTTGCCATGAGAGCAGAAGCCGTTCTAAAGGAGAGAAAAGAAAAGCTGCACATGATTACATTTCGTCAGAAACCTCCTTGATATGCTTCGTAATGAATTATGCTGTGTGCAGTGACTCCTCTGGGTTTAAAATGAAAAAATGCACATACAAATACAATGTCTTTTCTTGCAGTTGGCATCTCTAAGAATTAGATCGGGCACCGGTCAGTTCAGTGTGCAAGTGTGCAGTTTGGATTTTTTTCTCCACTGCCCAAATACCTGCTGGCACTACACATGAAGAAGAATTTAGTATATATTTTAAGGGTTAGGGACTGTACAAAAATGATTAATGGGGGAGGATGGTTCAGAAAAGGAGGAGTGTTATCTATATATTCTTTCTGCTAAAAGGGACAGCCAAGGAGGGTCTTCCATGGCCAAGATATATCATATATATCAGATATAGATATATATATAATACATATAAAATGCTTAATTTCCTTCCTTCCTTTTCTTACAGGATTTACTGTAAAACATATTGACTACTTCAAAAACATGTGTGTGCTCCATATATAGATGACAACAATTATGTCTCTATCAGGGCTTTATTTTCTAGTTTATAGTTGTGTCAATATAATACACAAGAAAGAGAAGATGTACTGTAGATCTTTAGAGTTACTACAGATTGAACATAAAGCATAATTTTTCTCACAAACCAACAGTCACCTTTATTCTTTAACTATACTGTGAAGTTAAATGTATCATAAAGTTTTTCTATGTTATAAATCACAACCCAGCCTGTTTTACTAATGGGTGAAGTGAGAATATGACAACCACAGAGCTGCCGACCTTGCCCTGTTCACTCATTCAGTAACAGAAGAACTGTTAATTTAGTAGCTCTCGGTTCAAACGCAGAGAGCATTTGGAATGCTTTGTTACCAAAATGCACTATTTGTTGTTAATCATAATTCTGGCAATTGCTAATTCCACTTGCTAATGTGCAATTCAGGCTGTGTAAAAATGACAGACCCATTAACATATTAGGCTTGAAATCAGAGCTGAGTTGAGAAATCAAGGGGGTGGATGTGTCAAACAAAACGTCAATAACCCTGGGGAGAGTCTTGTTTTTTTAAAACTCAAACATAAGGTTCACCTGAATATTTTTTGTACAGTCCCCAAGCTGTTTAGACCTGAAATATACTGGATATATTGATGTATCAGTCATAACTGCAGTTTTAATTCAATGAGAAATAAATTGTTCAAAATATTCAACACACACTGGAGGCATACACATCACGACCCGGCATCTTGCCAACTAGTCTCCATTTAGTTCAATTTGAAATTTCTCATTATTGAAGTAAAAAACTGTCCTACTCCTGGAGGGCTAATGGGATCAGTGACCTAGATTGTAAATTTAGCAGTGATATGTTACATAAAAATTGAATTGCTGAAACAGTCATATTTTTCTCATCGAAGCGAAATCCCCTTTACAAAATGTTCAAGGACAAAGAAAGCACATAGAAAAATCAATGATACTACTTTTCACAGACATACATGAGTGCTCCACATACAGCTTGACAGCTCTGAAGACACTCCGACACTCCAGCCGCCTGCTTCACTTTAACACACAAACTTCACTAAACCACAGTGCATGCTTATTATAGCTTCTGAGCCAATTATATGTCCAACATCCACTGTGAAAGAAATATCAACTGTCAACAAGATGGCACTTTACAACAAAAAGCTACAACTAACGCATGTCCCGAAACAAATGCTACAACTGTCCCACAAAGCCTCATTTATATTTATTTAAAAGCTACAATCAAAGTTTCCCCCAAACACAGAAAAGACATGAATTAAATTTTCAGAGGCAGTTGTTCATATCAAATGAGCGACACTGAGCTCCTTTAACAAACTGACATCTGTCAGAGATGTGTGTAACTCTAACCACAGCTCGTCTTGTTCGGCTTTCCAAGTGAGTGTAATGTAGACACGGAAACACAAGCTGTGACTCCACTCTGCTATGGTTTCTTACTTACAGAGTTACGGCTCTGAAAGCAGTCAAATCTATTGTTTGCACACAGCACAAGCAGCGTTTTATTTTACATTTTAAACAACAAACCCGTCTTGTCAAAAGCAGTTACAAAGTTTGTTACCTCAAAACAATGTAATTAAACATTTAAACGCAGGTTGCATAAGGAAAGCCTACTTGATGGGTAAAAGCAATTATGGTAATGGATGACCTGAAATACAATACTCAAGGGCCCTTTACCTCGGAGCATCAAATATTCCATGCTAGCAGCAGAACCAAAACTTATGACAGAGAGGTGGAGGAAACTACATCCACAGTGGAAAAATATTAAACTGTGTGTGTTTAAAATCATGCCAGAGGAAGACACTGAGAGTCAGGCACACAAGCAGACAGTTCATGAAACTAGACACTTTCAAATTAGTTACAGGAATCTGACAAGTCATTTAAACACAGCAAGTAAAAGGATTTTAAATTTGAAGTAACTTAATCACAGTTAAAACATGTTTACACATCGGGCAATCAGCACTATTATATGTGAGTTTTTAAAGCAACATGAAACAACTAATAGAGGTTTGATGAGTCCAAATTATCTAACAAAATTTAATTTGTGTTGGTCTATTACATTTTCGGTTACCTTATTATATTTTCATAGATACACAGTAGAAATTAAGCCAGCGTGTATAGAAACAAAATTATTTTCCAAAAGGCCAAAATAAGATGATGTGACCTTAATCATAAGGAGGCGAATCACCTCCATACAAACTATAATACTGCCTTTGACAAGAGAGGAAAAAAAGTTATTTGGAAGGAGAATGATCTCAATGTGGAACTCACACAAACTGCATCAGCAAAGAGGTACATCAATGTCAAGCGAAAACTTACAAACACAGATGTAGAGAATTTGTATTATTTTAGTTACTTAAATGGCCAGTTCAACCAAATTACAATAAAAACCCCAAAACAAACAAAACCCCATCGGCTCGGTTCACTATTTTCACCATTTTAATTTAACAGGTTGTGCTTACATCCACTAATTGGCATTTAACACAACCTGAGGCTGATGGGAATGTCAGTAGTTTTAGCTACAGGTATTTGGTCCTAAACCAAAGTAAAATGAATAAGCGTGGCTAAAATTCAACAGCAGCATGTTTCTCGTACTCTGGGAAACCCACCAAACTGAGACAAACCTATCTGCATGGCCAATCACCTCTAGACAACAATGAGAAAACACAGTATGTTTTTTGTAATTTAGGAAAACTGACCCTTTAAGTCCCTTTTAAGGAATTATTTATGTTCTTTAATCTGGACCTTTTAACATTTAATTTATTACATGCACACATGCACACATTTGTGCCTCTGAACATATGAGTATGTGTGTATCCATACCTTAATCTAAAACTAATATCTAACCCTGCCCAAAATGTCCTCACTTTTTCAAAAACTAGTATCACCACAGTGACAATAAAG